CCGAAATACAGTAATGCTGACATTACTGCTTGGTGGCAGAAATAGGTCGATTCTCTCTCCATGTCTGAACCATCTAAGCATCCCTTTCTCTACCTTTATCGCTACATCGTCTTTCACGCCGCAACACTCTCTTAGCCACAGTGTTCTATAATTTATCCATCGGAATCACTCGAGCCATACTTCTCAAATGTTACACAGGTTTATTTTGGCTGTATCTTACGATATTTAAAAAATGATTTTCTTGATAACTATTGGTTTTTTAAATCCGAAATGCTGCAGGGGACCTGGCGTACGCCAGGTGTATCCTCCAAAGAATTGTGAGACCCCAATCAGTTGCTATCTATTTACAGTTCAGTCATGTTCAGGAGTTACAATATAAAAAGAACTAAGAACGGTAACATAGCTTAAAGAGCTTACCAGCATAGCCATTCGTACAGCTTTTGCAGTTTCACTGAGGTTTTTGTGCTGCGAGGTTTTCGATCGCAGTTTTTCCATTAGGATCTCCTTCTGAAGCTCTATGGACTTATCTACCAGCCCGTTTGCAGGAGCCATCACTAGAGTTTTGCTGTCCGTCATTTTCACAAATTTTAATCCAGTAATCACACCAAAATTATTACAAAACCACTCAATCTACGAATAACATTTGATTCAGTCTGTTATGCCACTAATTACCGTAAAACATTTTTCTGAGCACATGAACTCGGATATATTTAAGTTAATTACCTTGTTTTGATTTAATCAATAATAAAAAAAATGCTTTTTACATAAAAATAATCACTTTCCTTCTTTCGTCGTATGGCGAACTGTCAATTTCATGCGATGCCATTTGTTATAACTCTGACAAATCGTAACGTCTTTGCTTTGGCAAAAAGAGAACCAGGGCGAAAAGGACATTTAAAAGGAGTGAAAGAGAAATCCGAGTTTTTATTGTTTTGTTTGTAAACGTCTTATAATTTGTTGAATAACATTAGAATGCCATCGCTTTTCGTTCGGAAACATAATTTTTTATGGATTTATGGAAATGGAAAATGTCGTAGAACTCCTAGAAAATCGTAAGTTGGCACTTAGATACTTATTTATTTGAATGTAATTAAATGTTGCCGAATTGAAAAACGATTAATGCAAATGTAAACGCCTACTATAAAAATATAGCACTCAGTGTTTACAGTGATATATCTATGATATATCTATTTAATTTTACTAAAAGAAAATTATTTTTAAATAATTAATTAATTAAAAATTACATTAGGTTAAATTGAATTTAGGGGTACAATTAAGAATTTATTTATAACATTTATTTTATAGATATTACAATTCAAGAAAACGTTTCAAGTAAAATATGGTCACTAAATCAAATATAATTTGATTGCACATGTATTTGTTTCAGTAGATCCGTTATTAAAGTGGATTCGACGAGAGGGTGGTACGAAAATGCGGAAAATTTGAGGTGAGCCATGCTCTGCAGAGAGTATACCTACTCACTTTCTAATCGGCGAATCGCCATCCTGTCATTGTTCTTCTTACACTTACACATTTAACCTTGGATCTCGTCAGCCAGTGGATATTTACCGAAGCTGGTACGAATTAGTCATATGAGGCAAAATCATTCTGTCATAAGTTGTGTTCAGTGATGACAAATAAAGGAGATTTGCAGGGCAGTCGAGTGCTAGGACACTAATATTTTAGGTATTAGGGTAAGGTTGTTTCGGGTACTGGAAATGATGCATTATCATGTCAACAAACAGAATAAGTAGGTAGCTTTGATAGCTACGTGTTTTGTAATAAAAATAAATAAACTGTATGTACGTTGCTTGGCCGTGCTCCCTCGTTGTTGTTCATGGGACGGTAATATGAAATGGAGAACGAAAGATTAACCAATAATCTAATTGAACATTGTACATCAATTTATGATAAAGATCATTATTTCGAATTTAATAATAAAATTCGGTTAGAAAGTGTACAGTAATTATTTGTTATTAACTATCCACTTATACATAATATATGTTTTTTTATGAAACCGTGTTATGGGACAAACAAGTCGTGCAGTTGGTGACATGCGACACACCTGTCGTTAGTACTTGCAGTGTTACCTAGAGCTTTAAATATGAGACAGTCGCCAAGTCCCATGAGCCTGTAATTTCACCAGCACCCTTACCCTTCAAAATCGGAACACAGTAATGCTCCCATTACTGCTTGGCTGCAGAAATTGATAAGGTGGCAGTACTTATCTGAATAACTCTTTCACAAGGAGCTTTACTACGAGCGTAACCACAAGATTAATATTTGGGAGGAATTCGGACCTCTAAAGCGATAGGTAATAGTAGTAGGGGAGTGTAGAGTCACTACATAAACAATTAAAATACTAAACAAACGCATACGTTTCCTCCCACCTTCTCGGTTTCCCTACTAAGCGCGACATAATAGTATGGTGGAATTCTAAACAAATTGTTACCTGTTTGAAATTGTAAATAAATACAATAACATAATTAAAGTAACGATATCCTAGTTGTTATATTATAACTATCAACTTATGTCGTAGGCGATGTAACTCAGTTACACGCTGCGACCGTTTATACTCAGCATTTCATACTGAATCGGAGGCTGTTTAGCGAGTTTTCACAGTTATACGTTACGAGAAAAATGTGTTTAGACAAATACTGATTATAGAATAAATCCATACCTCTGACGCAAGTGGTTTTAAGTGAAAATAGCATTTATTACTTTTCAAGTTAAATACATGTTTTTTATGCATGTTATATGTATATGTTCCATATTTAAAAGTAAAGAAATCACTTAGTGTTTGTTATGTTTACATTAAAAAGGACATATCTAAGTTAAAAAGCAAAAAATGGTATTTTGACTTGTATGGTATTTAGCTACTCATTATAAGTGACATTGTGAAATTTGTACTAAATAACAATTCCTTTATAGGTACTAAATCTTCTTTCTGTCGCTAACCGTCGCGGTGAACGGACATGTCAGTGTTCTTTCAAATTTGATTAAGTGCTATGTTGTAGCCCTTAAGGTAGATTGGTAGATTTTATGGGACGCCAAGTGTTAAGACGATTTCAGTTTTTTGTTTAATATTTAACACTAATCTTTTAGTCATTACGACACAATCTGTTTATTACGATTTAGATTTTAATGTAAAAAAATTAAAATATGCGTGTAATCCAGAAAATATGTAATCGGCCTTAATACTGACTAGCATTAAGTGCATTTTAATTGTAACAGGCTGTTGATTTTCTTCAATAAATGAAACCAAAAACCATAATGAGCTCAAATTAAGAGTCTATGGTACCTCAGCTCGAATTCAAAATTTTCCCGTACTAATGCGGTTCATTTTCCTTGGGTCGACCGGTCGACTGGCTTTATTTCAGGATATATTTTTTTTTCAAATTGAAGCCATTTGAATGTATATCGTATAAATGTAATGTATATCGTATAGTATACGTGTTCTATTTAGTTCAGATGATACAAAAAATCTTTGGGAAAAAACACACGACATAGCTCCGCACTAGGAATATCCTGTGTCGCGGGTGCCATGGACACACATATAGCCAACCACAAATGACACCCAAACTCACGAGAGAAATAAATGTAGACCATACAAATATTTCTCCCGGCCCGAGAATCGAACCTGGGACCTCTGCATGGCAGTCCGGCATGGTAACTGTTCGGCCACGGAGACAGTATCTATTGAATGCTGCGGTTTTCTTGTAAAATTTCGAGGCAAGTGTTGTGTGATGTTTTTGTATCGTGGAATCGTGTTTTCACACTGGATAGTATCCTCAATTTTAACTACATTTATTTTTTTAAATGATTGATCCAACACTTTCACTGTTATGCGGAATTAACCAAAGCCAATTTAAGGTTCTATATATAGACTCTTATATGAACCGATCGACGAAACAAACCGTTTTTAACACGTTCATCGCCGTGGTGGGTCAAAATGACCGGTATCTCATCTACCTATTGAAGCCGTGGGGGGTTAAAATGACTGGCACGACGCACCTAACTTTGCGATGCTCGTTCACGCCGCAGGTGGCAAACACTACGTACTTAGCCATATAATATAACAGGCGTGACCCTGACGAACTGCTGTTGCCACTTGGTTTTTAGGATGTTTGATGGCATACATACTTTTCTAGACTAAGAGGAAAAAATATGCATATTTCGGATCAAAACATTTACTTTAATTTCAAATTGGATTTTAAAGTTACAAATAAGCAAAAAGATGGTTAATGTGAAATGTCAATCTCAAATGAAAGACGTACGTAAATTTTAGGTAAACATTGTGACATTGCTACCGGCGCAGCCCAAACGTAATAATTATTGCGTTTAGGCCGCGCTAGGTTAAATGCCCAGCATTGAATATAATCCCAAACAAGAGCCAAAAAATAAAATATCGCGAAAAAATTTATATACGTATACAAATGAGACCAAAAACTGTCATATAAGCCAGTGTCATATTTTAAACATTTTTGAAAATTCTAGTTGGCGATGAACGTGTTAACCATCTAATGACAACATGAAAAAATTGAAATTAGAAAAATGTGTAAATAATAAATTTCTCTCATTTTATCCGTTAGTAGAAAATAAATATACAACGCCCACTGGACGATACTCTCATAAAAACATAATTAATATTTTTGGCGTGTAGAATGGAAACAGGTTATAGATAGATAGGTATTTGTCAGTTGCGGTCACTTTAGCCCTTTAGCTTTTGTCATTCATTGTGTTGATTCTGTAAGCGCCGGACACATGCAAAACAAAAAAAAAACCACTAAGCATAAAAAAGTGCATAAGTACAGGAAAAGGATCGAAAGGACCGTACAGTTTTAAAAGTGAGTGATTTTGTTTTTTTTTATAATTCAAAGAAGTAGTGTTTAAAAATATAAGAAAATGAAAAAGACTGCCCAGCAGTAACCGAAAGCAGGATATATCGCACTGCTATTACAATTATTATTACAAACAAACTCAAAATAAGTGAAATTCAAGATTATGCTATTGTTGAACGTAAAATTTGATTCTCTACACGTCAATAACACCGTCGTTAAAATATTGTAAGAAACAATTAAAACAAATCTACTTTACTCAAAATGAGACAAACTTTTTGCAAACTAGCTCTGGATAAAAGAATCTCACTAAATAAGTTTCTAAAAAATATTAAGTATTTTTTTCTTTTATTTGGCAAATAGGGAATTGTTTAGATGTCTGTAATAAATAAACTTTAACCTATACATAAATTTTAATAATACTTCCCTGGAAGTGAGTAATTCGTTTTTCATCGATTCTGAAAGAATACACTTTTTGAGTTAATACACTATTGTATTAACAGTGCGATATGTGTGTTGCGCAATAAAATCCTTCTTCTTCTTATGTGAGATCTAAGCTCTTGTCGGTGGAATATTGTTCAGCGTCCTAACTTTGATTTCCAGATACGAAACGACATTATCTTTCTCCCTTATCTGATATAAATAACTTTGTCTCTGTTTTCCTCTCCCTCTCCTCGCTTCTATAACGCAACTAAGAAAACTATCGTGAAATAAATATGTTTAATAAATAATGTAATTAAACAGATATGACTTTTTTTATCATATCTAGTGACGGTACGAACAAGTCGTGCGCTTGATGGTAAGCTACACGCCTGTTCATAACAGCAGCAGTGCCCACAGAGTTTTAAATCGCAAACATCTGAGCGCTGACCCTGCGCTCGTCACCCTGAGGCATAAGTTGACAAGTCCCATGTGCCTCTAATTTCACCACAAGTTCTAATATGCAGGTGTTAAAAAAAGATTACTAGCAGTAGAGTTCCTTGTGAAAGAGTTCGTCCAGTGCAGTACTGCCACCTTACCTATTTCTGCCGCTAAGCGGTAATGTGAGCATTAGTGTGTTTCAGTTTTGAAGGATAAGGGAGGTGGTGAAATAACAGGCACATGGGACTTATCAACTTACGTGTTAGGGCAACAGGCGTAGTGGCAATGCCCCTCAGATCTTTGAGATTTAAAGCTCTGAGTGGAACTGTAACTGTTATGGACAGGTTTGTAGCCTTACCACCAGTCACACAGCTTGTTCGTCCTGTCACTTGATATTGTAAAAAAAAGAAACAGAACTAGTTTCGGGAAATTATATGTATATTATAATCTTGGTTCTACGGCTTCTGGTAAGTCAAACAAAATATTTTTGTGTTTTCAAAACAAATTGATGAACAACTGATTCTAGTCATAATGAAGCCTACTAAATTTTGTGTCAATTTTCGAAAGTTGTAGACAAGTTGTTGTGGTTTGCGAGAAATTATAGCACCTTTTTCTTATACTCAGTGTATGGTTTATCCACTGCAATGTAAATAATTTGACACTAGAAATCCCGCTTCATGGTACATTGAACAGTTATAATAACAGTTATCTAATTATTTACGTAACAAATATAATATTTACTTAAGAAATAGATTTCTCACAGATGGCGCTACGGCAAAAAAACCAAAATAACGATCTTCAACAAACACATAGAAAAAAATCGTAAGATACGCGATATAGTTGGCATAGCGCCTGACACGTTTTGTGTTCGATCTTTGTACTAATAATTATCACAAATATTAATTCAATATTAAAAAAACGACTTAAAATAAGATATACAAAACACCGTAATTCTATCTATTATGAGCATTGTGTTAGTTTTAGAATCTAAGAACTGCCTCCGTAGCCGAACGGTTACCATGCCGGACTGCAGAGGTCCCAGTTTCGATTCCCGTGCCGGGAGAGATATTTGTATGGCCTACATTTATTTATCTCATGAGTTTGGGTGTAATTTGTGGTTGTCTATATGTGTGTGTCCATGGCACCCGCGCTACAGGGTTTCCTCAGTGCGTGCACTATGAGTGTGTGCGTGTTGTTATTATTATTACTTAAGCTCTTTTAGAATTACTTCCTTTTGATCTACTCTGTGTAACGAATACTATTCCTCCACTTACAAAAATTTTTTTTTTTCAATCAAACCTATTGGCTCGCCCTTTACATGTACCATGGTCACAGTTGACTGAGATGGTACCGTCATCAACCAGTTATGTCTAATATTAAACCACCTATTCTTCATTATTGTTACAAAAGTTGTTAAAACATTGGTTTCTTTGAAAAAACAAATATACGCGATTTAGATGCGAAAAAATAGTTTAATTTCCTATGTGTAACAGTCGCGAAAACCTAAGAACTCAATTTGTCTTGTTACTTTTGCTTCATTTTTTAGGGAAGACCCGTAAGCTGTAGGGAGACCCGCACGCTGTCTCTGAGTTCATGCCTGCCTATTAAATTTTTAAATAACTATCTGGAACTTGACATACTGGACAAGCATTCTGTATCACATTGTTTCAATTCATAATGTTTCCAATGTTCCAGATTTATTCTAGGCATTAGGCAGCTACAGAAATGCAACTGCATTCAATTAAAATTACAGTTATTAGTTTTTTTTTAAAAAACATTATAACCTCTGTTTAATTCAAAGTTTAAAGTAACATGTAAACAAGAGTTTAACTTATACATAATTGAAAATGTAAATGAATTAAAGTTTTTATTTTATATTTTATTTGGAAACTTTATTTGTGTTTTAACAAAATGGTAATACAAAGTGAACAAATAAATAATAGGTATACGTCAAAGTTTCTGCCGATGATTTTAATAGGCCATGCTAAATAACGTAAATTATTCATTAAGCAGAATACGTGAAACCTCGAATTTAAATAGGCATATTTAGTGTCCGCATATCTTAATCATTTACCTGCAATATTATAGTGGACGTCCCAGTACACATAGGCCGTTCCTTAACAATGATTATATTGATGAGTGACACTAAGGCTCAACTCTGGCGCAGAGTCGAATCGTGGCGTCGCGTCCTGTTTTTCAACTACACCTCGATTCGAACACTCGATTCCATATTTACAAAACAAAATACTGTACTTTAATAACAGGAAAATAGAGACGAATATGCTATAGGCGAAAAACATGACGCGTCGCGACGCTTTGACTCTGCGCCAGTGTGAGTTGTGCCTAATTCCGTGAGGAACTGACAACACAAAAGTATTGTTTAAAAGTTCATGATTATGTAGAAAAAGCGTTCGCCCTTCAGGACAGGCATCTAATTTTTTTTTATATATTGTAAACTCGTTTACGAATAAATGTCACAATATTACTATTATTTTTAACTGGACTTTCTGCCAGATCTTAGATTGTAATTTTTCTTTCGTTATATGTTTGCGGTGGCCATTTGAGTTTCAAAAAGACCACCGCAATTCAAAATGCCATTTAGGTTTATAGTTATTTTTGTAGAAATTTAACGGCTTTGGCATAAAGCCTTACGACCTAAAAACGAAGCTGGGGTCATTTTTTTCGAAGAAAGAAATTATCTACGCCAAATACTAGCCAATCAAGTATTCAGTTGGCCACACCAGATTGCTTACGTTGTTACTTGATAGTACGTAAATGGCTGCAATTTGTACATGAAACAAAATGTATGTGTTATTATTATTGCAGGCGTCACATATAGGATATTATTTTTATTAATTAGAAAAGTAAATGAACGACGGTTTGTTTTTTAATAGCTATTGAAACATCATATAATAACCTTAGATACAAATTTAAAAAAATTATAATGGCAACCGTTGTATTTATTGGAAACTTATGACACTACATTATCAGATTCTGGTTCTTATTAAGAGTAATTAGAGTTAATTTAGTAAGTCCAAAACTTAGGACAAAGCCAGGTCTTGTGTTAATAAGGTCGGGGTCAGCATAGTATTGTTAATGAAAAGTGTATCATTCTAGTTTGCTATTCTCAACTACGGAAGCTGTTAATGGTGTTAATGGTGCTGACAGCTGAGTAGGTTGTCAAGATTATTTGTGAATAGTCGATTATTTTTCAATGGTACCTATATATATGTATTTAGTAGTAGTAAAGCTCCAAACAGTGCTGGTGAAATTACAGGCACATGGGACTTGTCAACTTATGTCTTAGATTTAGCGATTTAAAGTTCTGAGTGGCACTACAACCGCTATGGACAGGCGTGTAGTTTACCACCAGCTACACGACTAGTTCGTCACGTCACTTAGTGTCACAAAACTAATATATTATATTTAGTAGCAATTTCCCCAAATCTTTTTCTTGTAACTTAATATCTTCTTAATAGCTTCTCAGTTGTTTATTTAAGAATGAAATTACTTTGGTATTGTTTTAATAGTTTGAATGATTAAAGTCGTTAGCGGTTGTGGCTAAATAGTAAATGTAAAATTTTCCAAAATAGATAAGTACTAAAAAGGTAAACAGGACGGTGAAAGATTAATAATTGAATTGCATTAATGTTTAGTGAATACCTACGTACTTGTTAAAATACTTAAAATTTTGGTATACCTACTTACACAGTGGTAATTATAATATCTTCCGCGTAAGTTGTTACGCCGTTATTATAATTTAATAAAAAATAGCATTTTAACTCTTTCACTTAAATATATCCTTTTACGTAGGTATATTACTGGTTCCATTTTTCAAATGAACATTAGCATCGATATAAATGTGGATGCTGATTAGATGCGAATATTTTAGTTTATGCCGAGTTTTCGCGAATGCAGATGCTGATATTCGCAACAACCCTAATTTGTACCTTAGCAGTTAAAACACGCGAAAATGTAGTCTAAACAAACATTTTTGGAATATTTTAGAGATAATTGTTTTTCACGATTTATTGGGATATTTATTTTTATATTTGTGCATATCGTAAATTCTATCTGAACGTGCAGTAAGCACGCGGTCCAGCAATTCTGTATCCTGAATTTTCCCTAACCAATTATCCTTTGACTTA